AAAGTTACCTCAGTTTAGAGCCACTGCTTTAGCGAGTTCTAGAGAATAAACATAAAGTGACTCAAAATGAGTTCCTTTAGGGAAAAAAATGACTAGCCAGAAAGTATTAGGGAAACTAAGTGCAAAAACGGCCAGGAGGCCACATGTTCTGACCTCCTCTAATCCCACAAGAGGAAGACAGAATTACCATCAATAGCCCAAGGCGTATTCCTGCCGGGCCAGACAAGCTGCCTCCCTCCAGTCCTTTCTCCAACCGTTCCTCCCAAAGCACCCACCACCTCTCTCCTGGGTTCGATAATTCTCTGCAGTGGCCACACAGAACTCACGGATTGTGGGGTTTATTAGGGAAGCACCACAGGCTACAATTCGAGTTCAGGAAAAATGCTCAGCCTCTCTCCCAGCCCACCATCCCTCAGCCAACAGTTTCTCATAGTCTCTTTCCCAGCAGTGCTGGTCCCTCGGTGTCTCACTAAGCAATGCATGTCTCTTGCGTCTCTTTCCCAGCAACACGTGTCTCAGGAGCCCGTGTCTCTTTCAGCAACACGTCTTCCTCAACCAGCAGTCAGAGAGAGTTCTGCCTCTAGGAGGCCTCCTTTTGAGCCCGGCAGGGTGGTCAAACTAGCCAATCACAGCATCAGAACTCTAAGCACCTGAGAGAAAGTGGGAACCACCCAGAACATTGTATTGTGCCACGCCCAACAGAAATACTCCATGTGGATAACATTTACAGTCAGGAGCTCCTCAGTTGCTCATTCCACCACTGAGTTTACAATGACTTATGGGTAGAAAAGCCATATTAAGTAATTTACTACACTGCACTAAGATAATAGAAATGAAAGTTACCATTATTGTGTTCTTACATAAGTCATTTACTATTTAGTCCAGAAAAATATTAAAGATTTATTTTAACCGTCTTCATTGTAATCCTAAAGAGTAACTAAAATACTCAGCAGTTTTTCTATAGACAGGTAAATCTTGTTACTTTCCCAAGTGAGAGGTAACTGCAACAGACAGTAAGCCAGTCAACTGCAGGCCAGTAGGTCAAGAGGAGATGAACCTAGAATATTTGTTACCTGAACTTCAACTCAGATGAAGTACTTCAGTAATTCCTTCCAGCATTATAATTCTGGGATCCACCATGCTTCAATTTGAGTTTCTAATATCACTAGCCAACACTATTACACAGGGAATTGAAACCAAAAAGAAATTATTAAATATCTATGAGTCTAAAAGGAGGATCACATTCTGTTTAACTAATTTGGTTCTTAGTATAAAAAAACATTTCCCATGTACATGCATATATTAACTCTAATACATTTTTATTGAAAGCTATTAAAAGAGACTATGATACTAATTCTTATGGAGGGATGGACACTGGGAAGAGGTAACTATGGGGAGGAAGTGGGAGAGGAGCTGTTGCATTGTGGTAAACTGTGGCCAATGACATGAGACAAAGTATATGTGAACTGCTATATGGAAAGTGAATTTGCTCTGTAAATCTTCACCCAAATCAAAATTTTTTAAAAAAAGAGACTATAATACTAATTCTAAAATGCATTTTTAAAGTATAGTACTGTCTTAGGAATCATATTCAGAAATATGACAATGTAGTATGTTTTTATCAGTATCAAGATCTTTGATTTTTGTTTATTTCATCTTCACGGAATCTGGGAATTAAGTTATCTTTAGAGATCTTCTCATCTAATCTTTATTGATTTTGCATGCTTCCATTTTGCTGCCTGAAACTGAGGATATGTAGATACATCCCTTCCCTCAAGGATCTCAGTCTAAAGCAATGATTCTTAACCTGCATGTCATTTTCTTATAGAGGCACCTCAAAATCTCTGCAATGAGCTATTATTTTGAAAAATATATGTAACGTATTTTTTATTTAGAAAAAATACAATCTCTATTATTCTTAGGTTAAAAACTACAGAAATAAAGCTTTATTAAATCTTGCTCATTGGGGAGTTTATGAAGAAGTTACAATGACCAGGTAATCTGGTAAATATGCAATTAATTTATAGGCCATATTTTGGAGGTGACATGTAGTGCTGTTTATGCCTGAATGGTATAAATGCATACTACTATTTCTGTTACACATCATAACAGCCTAACAGAAAAAAGTGGTAATCTAGTAAACACATAATTAATTCATAGACCATATATTTGTAGGTAACATGTAATGTTGTTTATGCCTGAATGGTATTATGTGTACTACTATTCCTATTATATATCATAACAATCTAATAGAAAAATCAGCAAAAGATAAGAAGCAGTTACTAGAAAAAAATTGCAAAAGGCTAGTAAATATGAAAGCTTTTCAAATGCATATGAGTGTGTGAGGAAACAGGCACCTACCTTCATGTGCTAATAGTAGAAGGCTGAAGTATCTGCCCTTTTTTGGAGAGTAGTCCATCAGAATTTTAATAAGGTACCCAACCATTTTAATTTTTTCCTACAAAAAATGAAGAGAAAGCCACCTTGGAGAGGGTTCAACAGAATGGGAGGAAAGGAAGAAAAGGCACATAGAAAACTCTTGAAGAATTTTGCTATAAAACAGTACCGAGAAAATGAGTGGTAATTGAAGAGGTATATAGGGTTGGGGGAAGGAAGATTGGGCAATCTGCTTCCGTAGTGATACTGCCTCAGAAACCCAAGGAGGGGTCACTATGAGTCAGGTCCACCTCGGCACATAACAATAACAATAGGGTTGGGGGCCAGTTTTGTTGATTTTTTTTTAAGATGAGAGATGTTGTTGTTGTTGTTATGTGCCGTCGAGGTAGACCTGATAGCGACCCCTCCTTGGGTTTCCAAGGCAGTATCACTATGGAGGTAGATTGCCCAACCTTGCTTCCAAGGAGTGGCTGGTGGGTTGGAACCACCAGCCTTCTGGTTAGCAGACAAGTGCCTTTAGGCACTATGCTACCAGAGCTCCTGAGAGACGTTGTAGTGTTTCTTTTATTTCTGATAAGAATAATTTATAAAAAGGAAAAATTGATATTGCAGGAGAGATGGTGGACATGTGCTTAATATAGCCATATCCTTAAATAGGTCTGCAGGATTGGGATCTAGCAGGCAAGTCAAAGTGTTGGCATTAGGTAGGAGCAAGGGCAGTTCATTAGTAGGAATAGGAGGGAAGGCAGAACATGAAGTTACAGATACGGTAGGTTGGTTTATGCTGGAATATTCCAGAACAAATATACTAGGCACTTATTCACCCTAGTGCTAATGTGTTTCCATTATTGATTTGTATCTTACTGAATACCCACATAAATTTTATTTTTTATTTACTAGTCTGAGCTAATTAGTAAAATTAGAGCATTACCAGTACTAAAGATGTCAAGAACATGACTTCAGTACTTACATGAGCTAATTAACAAAGCATCCCAAGGTCACAAGCCTAAATCCAGCCAGTTTATTAAAAAAAAAATAAAATATAATAAGAGGAACCTCACAAAACTCTATTATGGCCAGATCGTGAAACCCATTATTACTATTGAAAAATTAAGGCATAGCCCCTTTTGACATCATCTTTAAATAAGGAGAAAATATCAGTAATATTAGACAAGAATCATAAATGAAAACTTAAATATAAGTCATCTTTAAATAAGTGTAAATGGATTGTTTTGTATGTTTTTATGAAGAGTATAATTTTGTTCTTTGAGATATATCCCTAAATATTGAAAGATACCCTTTGTAGGATAAGAATATTGCTTACCTGTATATAACCTGTAGAAATACTTCCTACTTTGTCCATCATACTCCATGACCATACCTCCTCAACATCCTTGCTCTCTTACAGTACAAAGACGCATTTCTCTTATCAGCACATAAACCATATACAACACAATGAAGCTGTTTTTTGTAAGAAATATATAGAAATTTGGAGAAAAGATTCCTCTAATATTTTAAAGTCATAAATTTGTTGTTGTTAGGTACTGTTGTGTTAGTCCCAACTCATAGTGACCCCAGGGACAACAGAACAAAATACCTCCTGGTCACAGTCATTGCTGTGCTTGAGCCTATCATTGCAGCCACTGTGTCAATCCATTTTGTTGAAGGTCTTCTCATTTTTTGCTGACCCTCTCTCTGCTTTACCACGCATGATAGCCTTCCTCAGAGACTGGTCTCTTCTGACACCATGGCCAAAGTAAGAGAGACAAAGTCTAGCCATTCTCACTTCTCAGGAACATTCTGACTATACTTCCTCCAAGACAGATTTGTTTGTTCTTCTAGCAGCCCATGGTACATTCACTATTCCCCAACACCACAATTCAAATCCATCAATTCTTCTGCAGTCTTCTTTATGCGTTGTCCAATTCTACATGCATATGAAGCTATTAGGAGCTCTGGTAGCATAGTGCCTAAGGCACTTGACTGCTAACCAAAAGGCTAGCGGTTCAAACCCACCAGCCACTCCTTGGAAGGAAGGTTGGACAATCTACTTTTGTGGTGATACCACCTCAGAAACCCAAGGAGGGGTCACTGTGTGTCGGGGCCAACTCAACAGCACATAACAACAACATGAAGCTATTGAAAATACCATGGCTTGGGTCAGGCATACCTTAGTCTTCAAAGTGACATCTTTGCTCTTAAACACTTTAAAGGTCTTCTGAAGCAGATTTGCCCAATGTAGTACATCGCTTGATTTCCTGACTGATAAACAAAACAAAATAAAACAAAACTCACTGCTGTCAAGTCACTTCCAACTCGTAGCAAACCTTCCTTGGGACATTATCTCTATGGAATTAGATTGCCCAGTTTTCCTTCCAAGGAGTGGCTGGTGGGTTTGAACCACCAGCCTTCTGGTTAGCAGTCAAATGCCTTAGGCACTATGCCATCAGAGCTTCCTTGCTTCCATAAAATTAGTGCTGATTTTAAAAAATAGATAATGGAGTGGTGTTTTTTTTTTTTTTTAAGCATTTGGTCACTTATGATAAGTTAGTTTTAACCTGGTTAATTATTGCATTATAATTATTTCTGTATTTTCTTCACAGGGCTTCATTACTTCAAAAATGTTGTGCTAGTGGGATCTCTACAGGATCGCTATGTTCCTTATCACTCTGCCCGCATTGAGATGTGTAAAACAGCATTAAAGGACAAACAGTCAGGTAACAAAATAAATTAGAAACACTTTTGAAAGCTATATCAAAACATGAGTTTTCCCCCAAATTTTTCTTATAGTCACTTCTCTCTTCTTTCTCTCACCTTTTCTCTTTATTTTTACTTCCTTTTCCTCCCACTGATCTTAACAGTTACCATTCCTCCATTTTTCTTTCTTTCTCTCCTGTCATGTCAGCTGTCTTTACACACGTGAAAGTAGTTGGTCTTAGGAAATCTTTCATCTGATTAACAAATGCTTCTTTATTTTGTAATCTGTACTTTGATTTCTTCAGGATTATTGGGATTGGTGATTGAGGTAATGGTCATGCTGAGTGTATACCACACTTTTAGTCAAAGACAGCAGTAAGGACTTGTCCCTCTTTTCTGGTAGTGAATGGTAATGATTTTTTTACTTATTTTGCTATTTGTGAATAACCAAAGAAATTCAAATCATAGTATTTGGAGCCAGAAAAAGACTCAGGTCTTATTTGTTCATTTTATAAGTGAAGCCAGAAACATTAAATGGCTTATCCAAATTACTCCTCATTAATTAACAGGGAAGAACCTTATTCTTCTACCTCCAAGATTGCTTCACTTCCTTTTTTTGGAATGAGGCTGAGTTTAAACAAAACTCTTGATCCTTTGCTTTGTCTAGATTATGACAATGAGCAAGTCCTTAAGAAAGGGACTCTTTTATATACGTGTTGTATTGGCATTGCCTAACCTGGTACTTGGCACATAATAGGTATTCCATTCATTAAATAAATGTTTGTGGAGCATTTTTAACAGAGTAGCAGTCTTTTATTTCTGTCCTAAAGGCTAGAAATTCATTAGAAGTTTGACCTTCAGATAGATAGCAAAAACTAGATAAATGTCATTTGTACTCCCTTTTAACAGTGAGATTCTATGCCAGTGGGTGGCATTGGGAATATAATGAAGATATGTTTGGACTTCTTCTTATGTAAACATATTTTAAAAGTAGCATATAACCAGAAATCTAACTTGACTTGCAATAAAAACTAAGGGGAGAGGTTGAAATAAAATTTTTCTTGAATCTATGTGATGTTAATCTTTCTCTTAAACACTTCTCATTTCTCTCTATTGTACTTCTTTATAATGTTCCTTTCTTGTCGTTCCTTTTCTCTAAATTTAATATCTGCCTCCTTAAAATTCAGTTTCAATGGGTGTGTGTTAGCACTAATATATTAGCAATATAGTAATATATTAGCGTTAGAAACAATGTGTTGCCCCTTATAAGGCAGGCAGTTTGTATATTTATGCATACCAAAAACCAAACTCACTGCCATCGAGTTGGTCTCGACTCATAGCGACTCTTCCTTGTGTTTCTGAGGCAGTATCTCTACAGAAGCACATTGCCCTGTCTGCCTTCTGGGAGTGGCTGGTAGGTTTGAACTGCCAGCCTTCTGGTTAGCAGTCAGATGCCTTAGGCACTAAGCCACCAGAGTTCCCATATTTATGTGTATGTTGTTGTTGTTGTTGTTATGTGCCATCGAGTCGGCTCCGACTCATGGTGACCCCTCTTTTCCTCTTTTTCGGGTTTCCAAGGCAGTATCACTACGGAAGTAGATTGCCCAACCTTCCTTCTGAGGAGTGGCTGGTGGGTTTGAATCGTCAGCCTTCTGGTTAGCAGTCAAGTCCTTAGGCACTATGCTACCTGAGCACCCATTTATGTGTATATGTATATATGTATGTGTGTGTGTGTGTGTGTGTGTGTGTATATAGATAGATAGATAGATATAGATATATATAGTTGTTATTGTTGTTATGTGCCGTCGAGTCGGACCTGACTCATAGCGACTCCTCCTTGGGTTTCCTAGGCAGTATCGCTGCAGAAGTAGATTGTCCAACTTCCTTCCGAGGAGTAGCTGGTGGGTTTGAACCGCCAGCCTTCTGGTTAGCAGTCAATATATATCTTTATCTTTTATGATTAGCATGACCTCATTAAATCTGTTATAAGAATTAACTAAAAAGATGGAGGAAGGAATATAACTTTGAATTAAACGCAGAACCAAGCAGTGAATAAGCCTTCTGTTCTGGTTACCTAGTGCCACTCTGACAAGAATATATACCACAAATGTGATGGCCTTAA